GCCCCACTACACCACTTCCGCTCTTTGTCAAAAGGAGAGTCAAGCCAGAAGCTGAAATCCGAAACAACGAACAGCGCTCCGCCCATTAATTCCCCAAGGTCCTCACTAGGACAAAGATTGCTCAATTTGTGCGAAAAAAAACAGGTACTCAGGGATTAGTAATACAGCCAGTGCCGGAAATCGGAATGCATAGAAGTTGTTGAAGTTGAAACGCGTTCTGTTTTCTTGCGCTTTTTTCCTAAGAAAAAAATAAGACTGTGCAATTGAACACTATGTGGAACTGCTGGACCCAGAATCCGGAATATCAAAAAAAATTGGTTCTTTTTTGTCTCTTCACTACCTCACACCAGGATAGAGGGTCATACTTTCTTGCAAAAAGCATAAAAAATTCAAGAATTCCAGCGAAATGATGCGGAAATCGGAATACTGCTTATTGATACTTGGTCTCAACGTTGATCCTTACTCTTGTATTTCCTCCTGGAATAGTACATTCTATCGTTCGGCTATATTGATACCACTAAGCAGAGCGAATATATTGCGTGTTATCGCTTTGCCCACACATTGCGTGAGATCCCCTCAGTAGGAGTGGTGGAACAAAAGATGACAAGGTCGTCTGTTCACGAGCGCCAAAAGGCCAGAACACCCCTTCCGCCCCGTAAGAAGCTATACTTAGTTGCAATCATCGCCCATGCATACACTTATTACTAGTATGTGCGTGCGATTCTGCCACTTAGAGTTGTCGCTCAAGCGGCGAAATTAATGGTACGATTGAGAATTGATCAACGCGATTCACGGAAAGCGGATGATGACGGTAACGAGAACGGTAACTGTGTGGCTTCGCTGATCTGTACGATAAATCACATTGAAGACAGACAAGACAGACGATCTTCTCCTACCCCTCTTCTCCCCCCTAAAGATTGCTATCACCCTCGCTGACGGCTCGATGAGGTAACTGCGAATGGATCGAAGAATTCTCACTCACCAGGTGCTATCGTATAGACTGTAGTGTCCTCGATGTCTTCAATTGGCACGCCCGATCCGGAACCGCCACCACCGCCGATAAAATCTTCATCGTCCGTATCGTCGTACGGATGACCGGAAGACTCAAGCCACGCCTCCTAAAAACTTATTAGTAATGATACGGTATCGTGAACTATTGACCTCAATGAATGGCGCGCCATAGAAAAGCATTATTGTGCTGTATTCCTGACGTCTCGAATGATAGCGCTCATAGCTTTCATTCAACTCATTTCTGAGTCATTACTTTGGAATTCCGATAGAAAAGTACGTGTTTACAGAGGTACGGAGAGTGGTGCTTGAGTGAAGCTCTATCCACTGAGCAATCGGAAAAACAGCTCTGAAATCGAATCCCACTTCAGTAGATGGGTCGAGAAATGTGTAGAGGATCAAGTCGGCCAAAGGTGTTGGGGGGCAGTTAAAGGAATCCTTGGTTTCCACGTTGTGTCAAGCCATCAAGTAAAGATTTGTGAAATATTGTGAAGTCATGAAAGTGATACTAGCTCATGTAAAAATGCCTGTCAGCCAAAATGCTTGTAAAACGACCAACATGACACAGGAAAGTGCAAAATGTCCCCCTGACCTCGCCCAACTGCGCCAGGGTGCGGTTTGCCCACTCCGTTGGTCCTTCGTTCCTGGGCTTATGCAAAGTTCTACATTTCCATTATGGCAACACCTTTGAAGGAAACCAAGGAAACCTTACACAAGGAACCTTTTGAAGGCCTTCCCCTCTCCCCTTGACCGATTAGCGTGTTTAGAAACCAGATTATCCTAATATCCAACGACAGAAATTTTGAGCTCGATTATTTACAGGAAGCATATTTGGGTACTTTTCACCCTTAACTGACTCCGATTCAGGTCACAGTTCGATCTAGATTTCTCCCTATAGAAGAACTTGCTAGTGGCCGGAGGCAGTATGGTTCTCAGAGATTGTTAAACTCCCTGATTACGATGATCACCTTCCTTTGACCCCCCCCCCCCCCCAAAACGACTGGCCCGTGCGCCATGGCCATCAGCATCTGAGGCGCTCCGCCTTGCTGTAAAGCGGCCTATCTCACCTTATTGGTAGTTGTAGTACTCGTTTTCGGGAAGGGGGAGGGGTGGGGTCAACAACCCATAGAGACGGAACTCCAACGGAGTCTACCCCTAGAGGGGAATCTCGGGCGCAATACGGGGGCATTTTGCTGGGTCCTATTTATCACTGGCGGTCTCTTCAAGGAATGCCCATAAATTCCTGTAGAGCTATGCAATAGCTGGAGCTTACTTCACACTTGACAAGAGATTACAGGTCACACCAAATGGAACGTGTAATTCAACAAGAACAACTAAATGAAACTAGCAAAAAAAGCCAAATGGCCCTCCTAAACCGAACAGCGCTGAATCCTGGAAGTTTCAAACAGTGAGACAGTAGAGGACACTTAGTGCCTTACTCAGTATTATCTGTTATTCTATTGTTCTGTGACGCGATTTCTGTGGCCTATCTGCCTATCGAATATTCCAGAAATCAGACTGCTTTGAAGAAAATGATTTTGTATTCACTTTTTTATCTCATTATTTTTTTAGACTTATCGCTAAATATTTGAGGATCATAAAAGTATACCAATATGGTGAAAACTTCTGAAAATATGGACTGCTGTGAAGAAAGATTTTGAATTTTTCCATCTTTTCAAATAACCGAGCAACAAGAGTATGGGTTAGTTGCAATACTTGAAATAGCTGAACTATAACAATACCAGTAAATCTAGATTTTTCTCAAAAACTGGGATCTATGCAAAATCTTATGATGAGAGATGGTTTTTGAATAAAATCGATTTTTCGGGCAATCGAAAGAACCAAAGAGCTGAATGATGAGTCCTTGCAGTTTATTACACTATCCAGAGAGTCACGCTCATGAAATATCCCCAGGTATCAACTAGATTCACCTCCTGATTGATATGAACAGCCAATAAATATACTGGTCCCATCGTATTTATTCATTGAAATCAGCAAATTTTCGAAAATATCGGTCATTCGGGATCATTTTCTGACTTTCTTTGAAACTTGTGCATCACCATAACAATATGGCTTACGGGGAAAATAAAAATTCAAAATAATGTTTTATATTTTAGTATATTATCTTGGTAGTATCTATTTCGAATATAATTAAAATTGAATTAAATTGAATTTTGAATTTAAGCTGAAATCAGTCTGTGAAGAAATGTTCTAAAAAATTTTTTTCAAACATTCGAATTACTCGGCCACTTTCAAATATTTGAAATATTGGGCTACAAGGCAGATGTTAGCTTTACTTGTCCTTTACTGCGTCACTTTCAGGGAATCAGGCCAGGTTTACAGACTCAAGTGAAATTTTTGCCTCCGAGCTCAATCCCACTCAATCTTCGAATAGCACATCCCGCTTGAATACAAGCGCCACCGCCTACAGACACTGGCGGCGCCATCCCTTAACGGCAGTTAGCCATAGCGTTTTTGCGTCAATCAAATGCACTCGATATTCGGTGCGGAGCCAGAGCAAACTATCTGGGAGTGTTTGTTCATCGTAATTGGTGGATGCAGTTCGGTGCGACAGGGGGGGAAATTTTTGGTTTTTGCTGCTCCTCTAGTTCCGGTTTACAATCTCACTGTGGTGAAACCCGTGAACTCTTGCAAAGCTGGAGCAAACTCGGCGAGCCGAACCTGTCAACTCAAGAAAAGGCTCTCTAGATGGGTAGACACATTGATGAGAAGTAGCAAAAGTGCAAAATGCCCCCTTCCTCCGTCGCCGAACTCGGACGCCCATCTTTGTGATTTATGGTATTTTCACTCAGGTGTCAGGGGTTTTGCCACCAGTCATGCTTTGGGAGCTTTAACTCCCTCTTGGAAGAGGGGAAACTTCGGAAACAAAACTGGCCTAGCCAAGCCCCCTCCCCCGTTCCCGAGATGTCCTTTGATCAAAACCTGACCTAAATTTTGAAAAGTCGAGCTTTAATGTTGAGTGGTTTCCATGTGTTTTTTCTTTTACCAGAAGGTGCCTCAGATCTGAAACTCGGTGAATAATGGACTTAATAGCTATTCTATTAGGATATTGTAGAACTGACATGTAATTCTGCAGTATTTCTGGTAATACTAGTACTGTGATACTGCTTTCCATTAGTACGATGGTACTACTTAGTAGGGAACATCGATTTTTCAATGTTCTATGGCTATTCCAGTCTAATCTTACTACATATTCCCCATCCCCTCACTATCAATTGCTTCCTAAGCAGTTTTGTAATCGACGTTTTTCTTCCCCGTAATCCGACTATAGATCTGATTGCTTTTTTTCTGCCCTTTTTTTTTCTTCGCATGTCGGCATTGTCATTCGTTTTCCCCCGTTTGAAACCATTGCCGCCGTAGGTGGGTGGCACTGCCCTCTTGATTCGTGGCGATTACCATTTCATCCCTCCGAGTGGCGCGCATGAGGGTGAGAGACATGCAGTCTATTGAGGTATAATCCCATATAACATGACGACTATGAACTCGTACTAGTAAAAAACATCTCATATAACACTGAACAAATGTGCAATGAATTGCGTGTAAAGAATCGGTGAACGCTATTCAATAGACCTCACAACGATTTCGATCTCCTCGTTTCGACATCGGGCCAGCGAAAAAAGGCGTTTAAAGCGTACGTCAGGGCATGAAGGAAACGGTTCCAGAGCGATATCTTTCATCTTGGCCCTCGTTTGCCCTCGTTTATCGCTGCCAGTTGCCCCTCGGAATATGTCACATAAGTGGGTGGTCGACATTTTTTTTCCATGTAATTAATGACTATCGCAAAACCAGACCCAGTTATCCTTGAGCAAATAACCGTCGCAAACATGAAATTCATCAACGATCGATTAATGACTCCTCGAGCTCAACATAACAACGATCGGTGCCATCGGTCGACGAGCTTCATGAAGTGATTCCGGCCACCCCAAAGAGCCGCCGAATCCACTATAAGACCATAATTGTCGTATGCCAATAGCTCAGCAACTCAGTCTGGCATTGACCCTTGCCCATGTTGGATACGGGAACGCCCACGGGACGTGAGGGTGGGTCACCACAAAAGTACATACGCCATCCAGCAACACTTACGGCATTGAAGAAATCCATCACAATACGTCGTATATTATAAGTGAAAGCTTCAAACGCGTCCCGACTTTAAAATAATGCGAGCGATATAAATGGGCCGTTTCGTTCGATGTCAAATCTCGAGGGAGGTCGGCTTGGTAAGATGAAAGTGAAGTGTGAGCTGGAGCAGGAGATTCAATGGATGAGCACTACGAGGCCAAACCAACACAAAAGTGATTCACTATTCACTATTTTTGTTAGTATTGTGCCGATTTTCCAAAAAGTATAGCTCTTTGAGAAGCGTCTGTTGTCGGGTTGCTTTCACAAACGCTACCTACTTATCTTCGTGTCATGCTGCACGTACTGTAAGTTTTTCCCGTTGCACTTGATAACGGGCACGAGCACTCCCTCCCACGGAGAATGAAACTCAGGGCAACGCAAAAACTTCATCAGTAAATCCCATTGAATGGTGAGCTAACAAAGGTGATCGTTCATTGCTCAGTTCTATACAACGCGTCTCATTAAGCAGTACAACATGCAGTATTCGTTCTCGGATGTGGTAGTGGTTGATGAGTTGTCTAACGACCACCTGCTGACACCTGTATTGACACGAGTCGATGTGGTCCCAGAAGCACATGCTTACTGCTAAACAAATATTTAATGTACGCTGTAGTCGGGTTACTTATCTCTCGTTGTCACCCATCACCCCGTCAAACCCCCATTTTTAACCTCGCGTCGAATAGCTATCAATCCAGCCTGCCTGTTTTCGAACATCGCCGCTTCAGACATGAGAAACAGGGTACAGCATCGTGATGTGTGAAATGGGGCGTCAGTACGACCCCCCCCTGACAAAGGGTCTCGGTACGACCCTTCCATCCTCGACACCTACCTCCCACTTTCCTACATATTCCCAGCTTCCTACCAGTTTCTTCCGAAATTTCTCGAAAATTTGCTAATTTTCCCCAAACATATTCCATCTAGGAGGGGGTGGGGAGAGGGGGGAAGTCGTCAGCAACCAGCTACTATTCTCAACTATCGGAAATAGTAGTTATATAGAACTATGGCGGCGCCAACAACTAGGGGGCTTATAGCAAATGGGAAATGGGAATGCCAACATCCTGGAAAAATTTTTTCCCAACGCGGCAAATTTCCCTCAAAGGCACATACGATCCCCCCTCTCCAACGGCAAGTACGATGTGTTCCACACAACGATGCTGTACCCTGATGAGAAATCTGCAAGTGCAGACGATACGATAAGGGTCATATTGGAGGAGAGGAGAAAAGCGGAAAGTGCTTTGCGTGGCAGAAACAAGCACGCAAACGGAATTGAAACTGGGGCGCTCGTTGCTCTCATCATTCCTCTTTAGTCTGCATCTAGTCGCCACCCGTTTTTGCCTTGGGTGCCACGAATGGGAGAGAGAGAGAAGCTGGGCAATCAGTGAAGGCAAAGCGATGTGTTCAAATCTTCTAAGCTATGCCTGCCTACTAGTGCTCAGCAGGTGGTCGCATTGAATTGTTGATATTTTGCATGTGCAGGAATCAGGGTAAAACAATCATTAGCAATGAACGAATAGATCAAAAACTGAGTTCAGAAAGAGCATGAGAGGAACGGACTATCATTACATGGACACATAAGAAACCACAGAATTACACTTTCAATTAGGCCTAGACTGCAATTTCCTGCGCTAGCCTTATGTAAGCCACAGCTATGAATACTGATAGATGCTGAGGCGAACTTTACTCGGAAACATGGGCTATGAATTGCAAAGCATACGAGAGGTTCATTCACGAGGAATTTCAATTGTGGCAGTGCCATTCAAGTAATAAGAAATGGGAAGGTCAAAGAACATCATTAAACCAGTAAGTTAATCGATAACAACGGAAACGTAATCAAAACTGACCTTTGGACGTGGACGAACGTCTTTAATGCCAAGACTGAGATCATCAGCAGCATGTTGTAATCTGCAATTACAGAATAACAAAATCATTGCTAGCGTAGTAATCCGTGGCATCATCGTCATGTAGTTGGCTAGCTAGTAAGTTGGTAAGCTAGCTGGCTGAAGGTTGACGTCCAAGCGTTAGTTTGCGAGACAGTGTGACAGGACTGTAGGAGAAGGGGTTGGACTGTAGTGTTTCTAAGGATGATGACAGGGTTTAGAAGAAAAGACGATGGCACGCAGACGAGGGGGGTCTTCTGATGAGTCCGTCAACGGAGGCTGACGGCTATCAGTTCGGATCTACGCCAACAGCACGCTCCGCCTACCACCCCACTGGCTGCTCTCTCGCTCAGCCCGTCTCTCTGCCTACGCTCTCGTTTGGCCGGAATAGGCGGCGACGATGGCGGCCGTCTACGACGGAAAAATTACGGCAGTTTTTGTCTATAAGCTTGTGATAACAGATCAACAGCACTGATATAAAAGAAGTGATAGAACGACTTGGCCAAATGGACGAGGTTTCCAGTGGGATGAGCTTATATTTGGTAGATGAGGAGTGAAGAACGACCTTCTATTGCCCCTTTGAATTAGTTTTCCGTGCAATTGAACGTGCCTGTTGTCAGGATGTACAAGTGCTTTACATTGACGGAAACGTAGTAAGATGAGTCAAAAAGATTAACAAATGTCCGTGTTCGATAAATCAAATGACGACGAAAAAAGCGCGAATGAATCACGGCAAAGCATCGCTATCTGTCAGCACTGCAAGGCATTTTCCCTTCTCTCTTCTCTCCGTCTTTCTTTTCATCCTTTTTACCTCGTTGAGATGGAATTCTTCGTCTTGTCCTTGGAATTTTATTCGTAACTACTCCAAGTACGAGACGATCCGTCTTTGTCGTTGTCACCGGCCAACGAATTAACTATGGGAAGGCAAACATATCGTGTGGGAAGCTCTAGCGCGTAGAGTTCTCAGGTACACAGCCATCCAAATACACACTAGACCTGAGCAGAAATCCGCCTCAGACCTAGGGGAACTATGCAAAGAACAACTCTGCCGCTTACACGGAAATCGGAAAGCGGAATTTCACGCAATCTCACCTGACGATATTTGTGCCATTCCAGCAGGATTCCCCTTCAGAAGCAGCTGAACAAGTTCGATTTGCAATCTGAGACCAACAATTCCGCAACGTTCGCATCTTCAATGACATCATCTGGCCTGGACAAGTTCGTCCGATCCCCCGAAAATCACGGAAATGAAAAAAACTCACATGTTCGACGAGTTCCCTAGTCATTGGCTTCACTTCGTGCGGCTTTTGTGGTTTTGAGCCAATAAAGGATGTCGTGTAGGCAGTGCTCTCTTTCAGTAATGGCCCACATTTACTAACAACAACTTTAGCAAGACGTGGCGCTTTCATCTGTACCAGCCTTCTCATACCATTGACGATTCCTTGAACCAGCTGAAACAGATTTGATCTGACTATTGGTCCGTGCTGAAGTCACTTCAATATCCGAACGTTTTGAAATACGTATAGGTCCCGACAACCCAAAAGTCTCAGAAAAAGCTAGGAAAGCCTCGACAGTTGATAGCTGCCCGTAATTTCGATGAATAGCCCTCAGGGTACAGCATCGTTGTGTAAAATACATGGGGGATTGTACTTTTCCGCTGAGGGGGGGGGGCGGTATTTGTAGGGAGGGGGGTATGTGGCTTGAGGGAATTCTGCCGCGTTGGATAGAAAATGTTCCCGGTTGTTGACTTTTTCATGATTTTTCCTGTTTTACGTGTACCATGTACCCCCCCTCGCTCCACCGTAAGT